GCGCCAGACGTGCTGCTGCTTCATAAGTGCGTACGAAACTCGACGCAGTATCAAGCGCGTGCAGTTGACGCATCAATCTTCAGGACGGTATTGTGTTCAGCACGCACCATCTTGGATGCCGATTGGTGGGTTGTGGAGGAGCGTACACAGGGAAACAAACAATGACATAAACATAACAACTCGGAGGGCCGCGCAGATTTCTCGGATCGGCGTTGGACCCCCCTCCTTGGCGCGCGGAGCGCGCCAGGGGCGGCGCCGGAGGCGCCGCCAGGGGTCTCCAGCGCGGATCCGAGAAATCCGCGCGGACCTCCGAGTTTTTATATTCATGTCATTGTTCATTCCCCTAGTGCAGTCAAACTGCATCATAAGGATGAGAAGAGTTCCAAAGGAAGCCCTTGTATCCATGCCTCTCGGCCCGTCTTAGCCCTCAGCCGTGGGCCACGGGCTGCCAACTTCGGCGTCAGTTTTTGGACGTCCGCATGCCTTTACTTCGTACCGCGCATGTCTGTGATCTGGTCGCGCTGCATTCCTGCATGCAAGTTTAGCCAGCGTGGGCCCCAAGCAGTGAATTTCAGTCGGGGCGCTGCAGAAGGGACCCTTTTCGTTGGGGAGAGGCTGGGTGTTCCTTGATTGTTTTACAGTTTGCCTCAGGGTTTCCTAGGGTTTTCGATGGGAGATCGAAGTTCAACTTCTGGGAAAAAAGGGCCTCGTTCCTCATTCAGGGTTCTTAGGTCAACGCCCCGACAGAATTGCGCCGTGGAGGTGAACCCTGTGCGGTGTCAGTTGTGCGGCGAAAGATGTGTCGGTGCAAACTATGTGGTGAGAGCCAGGCGGCAACGGGCGGCAGGGTGGCGAATCCTCGGCATACTCCCACAGGTGGCAACGGGCGGCAATTGGGCGAACCCTCGGCATAATTACCTTCACAGCGCACGAGGCGGCAACGACGCGGCAACGACGCCGTAACGAGGCGGCAACGGGCGGCAACGTGGCGAACCCGTGGCATACCCAGACTGTACGAGGCGGCAGAGACGGGGCAGGTCAAGGCGGCAACGGGCGGCAACGGGCGGCAGCGTGGCGGACCCTCGGCCTACCTCCACAGGCGGCAACGTGCGGCAACGAGCGGCAAGCGGTAACGAGGCGAATCTTCGGCACACCCACACGGGGCAATGGGCGGCAAAGGGCAGCAATGTGGCGAATCCTCGGCACACCCTTTCAGACGGCAGCGGGCGGCAACGGGCGGCAAGGTGGCGAATCATCAGCATACGATCCAAGTCTTATCACATTCCTCAATAAGACAAGTCAGAGTCCCTAGTTGTAAGCGCTGCTTTGGCAATATCTATCTATACATCTCTGTTATATATATATATAGATGTATATACCGGGCTACAGGGCCAGGGGCTCCCTGGCCGGAACCGCAACCCCCCATGGCGGGATCGGGCCTTCGGGAGCGCCCTTGTCCGGGCCAAGAGGCGCCGAAGACGGTCCAAGCGTGCCTCGAGACGCTTGCGATCGATCCAAGACGCCCAAGATGGCTCCCAGACGGCCCAAGAGGCCTCCAAGATGTCCCAAGAGAGCCCCAAGAGCATTCCCAAGAGGGCTGCAAGAGGCCGAAATCATGGGATTCCGTTGGTTTTTTGCAGGTTTTTGGTTTTCTTGTTTTTCCGTCGTGCCGACCCTCCAAGACAGCCCACGAAGTCCCCAAGACCGTCCCAAGATCGCCCAAGAGGCCCCCAAGAGAGCCCCAAGACGGTCCAAGAGGGCTAACAAATAACCCGATAGGCGCCTAAGACCGCCCAAGAGCTTGCAAACACGGCCCAAGAGGCATCGAAGACAGTCAAAGCGTGCCACGACGCGCCTAAGACCGCTCCAAGACGCCCAAGATGGCTCCCAGAGGGCCCAACAGGCCTCCAAAACGTCCCAAGAGAGCCCCAATAGCATTCCCAAGAGGGCTGCAAGAGGCCGAAATCATGGGATTCCGCGGTTTTGTTGTAGGTTTTTGGTCTTCTTGTTTTTGTCGCCGTCCCGACCCTCCAAGACAGCCCACGAAGTCCTCAATACCGTCCCAAGATCGCCCAAGAGGCCCCCAAGAGCGCCCCGAGACGGCCCAAGAGGGCCTAAAAACAACCCAGTAGGCGCTTAAGACCGCCCAAGAGCTTGCAAACACGGCCCAAGAGGCGTCGAAGACGGTCCAAGCGTGCCTCGACGCGCCTAAGACCGCTCCAAGACGCCCAAGATGGCTCCCAGATGGCCCAAGAGGCTTCCAAGACGTCCCAAGAGAGCCCCAAGAGCATTCCCAAGAGGGCTTCAAGAGGCCGAAATCATGGGATTCCGTTGTTTTTGTTGTAGGTGTTTGGTCTTCTTGTTTTTTCGTCGTCCCGACCCTCCAAGACAGCCCACGAAGTCCCCAAGACCGTCCCAAAATCGCCCAAGAGGCCCCCAAGAGCGCCCCAAGACGGCCCAAGAGGGCCCAAAAACAACCCAATAGGCGCCTAAGACCGCCCAAGAGCTTGCAAACACGGCCCAAGAGGTGTCGAAGACGGTCAAAGCGTGCCTCGACGCGCCTACGACCGCTCCAAAACGCCCAAGATGGTTCCCGGATGGCCGAAGTTGCGTCCAAGACGTCCCAAGACAGCCCCAAGAGCATTCCCAAGAGGGACCCAAACAGCCAAAAGCATTGCTTGCCTGCAGGCTTTTAAATGTTTTTGGCGTCCTCAATGTTTCGTCGTCCCGACGCTCCAAGACGGCCCAAGATGCCCCCAAGACCGTCCCAAGTTGGTCCAAGAGGCTCCCAAGACGGCTGCAAGAATGCTCATTTGCCTCTCAAGACCACCCCAAGACGGCCCCGGATGGACTCCCGACGGCCTTCGAGGCTGCCCAGATGGTCCAATATCCCCAAGACGGGCCCCAGACACCCCAAGACGCTTCCTCAACGGCCCACAGACGCTCCCAGAGGCCTCCAGGTACAGGATGAAGACGCTCCCAAGAGGGCTCCGAGTTGCCAAACTGTTCAAAATCTGCCCACGAGCAGTACGTTCGTAGCACGTCGCCTTTTCACTGCCGATGGGCTTCCAAGGCTGCTGGAAGGCGTCAAAACGCCCTACAGAGCCACCTCAGAAACCCCCAGAACAGCTCCAAGAGCGCTTGGAGGTTTCCCGAGAGCGGCCCGAGACCGCCCCAGCTGGTCTGAAGATTGGGTTCGGGCCGTGAAGATTGCCCCAGAGGGCTTCAAGACGGCTCAAGAGATGCCCAATAGGGCCCCACGGGAGCCTCAACAGTAGAGGGTCCCATGAGAGAGAGAGAGAGAGAGAGAGAGAACTCGAATTGAGATTTCGAGCCATCCGCCCCAAGGAGACCCCCGAGATCGTCTTCAGGCTCCACGAGGCCCAAAAAGAGGCCCCAAAACGACCCCCAATATGTTTCAAAACTGCCTCCAGCAGGCTCTCCAGAGGCTTCCCAAGAAACCCCAACTGGCATCCAAGAGACCTTGTCTGAGCTGGCTTGAGTTAGTCCGCGCAATGTCTAATCGGATTTCGCTCAGCGTAGCTTCGCTACGCTCGTGCAAGGGGGACCCCCCTATGCCACTCATGTTCTGTTCATGGTGGCTAACCTTGTTTCACCTAGTGATCCCCCCAAGGGGTATGGACTGCCTGGATGGTCGCATGTTTGAACCATCCAGTATCCTTCAGCTCGGCTGTTGCCGACACTTCCATAAGCGCGAGTGCGCGAGTGTCCACCCATTTTCGCATTGCTTGTATGTGTACGCGTCTTGGTAGTGTTTGTTTTCATTTGTGGTCAAAAAAACATGCATCCAAGAGACCTTTGCATCACAACCCAAACGCGGTGGCGGGATAGGCTGGATGCCAACAGGCCAGTATCGAACTCGATATGGATTCTCGAGTTTGGTGCCACGCGTTTCGGTGGTTCGACGCCCAAAGGCCCTTCCTCGGCGCCCAAGTCCGTGTAGAGTGTTTCAAAAAGACTTTCGCTTTCAAGGAATTCAGAAGTCGTCTTCTTGGTCACCGCGGAGGCCGGCCGAAGGCCCGCGGAAGCTGGCGGATGTAAATCGAGGGCGATCTGGCTGGCGGAAGCCAGCGGAACCTCTTCTGAAACCCGCGGAAGGAAATTGATTTTGTAAGAGGTCTACGTTGGCCACCGTGCCGTCTTCAGGCATGCAGAGCCAGCTGCATAAATGTCGCACGGTGTGCACAAAACGATCCATCGCCCCCTGGAGGTCTCCACACTTTCCCCGGAACAAGCTTTCAGGGGCGCGAATTGAAACCCCACACACCCCAGGACAGCCCCGGCTCACCCACTATAGGGCCCCAAGAGAAGTTCCGGCCGACGCCGCGCAACACCCGAACAACAAGCGTTTAGAGAAGCCCCAGAGTGGCACAAGATGGATCAACGATCGCACGAGCCGACATCCCAATGGCCGCTCCAAATCTTTGATGTGCAGAGCGTTGCGTTGCATGTCATTTGTGCTTCATTTATCCTTGCAGTAGTTTGCGTTGAGTTGCAATACGTTGCATAGCCACTGTATGACATTTCCACGATCATGTCATATGGATTTGCATTGCATGCTTCTGTGTGTATACTTGTCAGAATTCCATCTCTGTTCGGTCCGCGCGGTTGCTACCTCTTCACTTCATGTGCGAGCAATTTGTGTTTACGTGCACGCGTGCATCTGTGAGCTTGTCAAGGTTTGGAGGGCGCTAGAACCTGAACGCGCGCGAAGCGCGCGCGTGGTTCTAGTATATATTTTTATATATATATATATATAGACATGCACATGTAAAGCCAATTCAACCAACTGCTGGATCGCCCCCCCCCAGAGGCGTGGCAGACACTTCCAAGCGTCTCTGCGGTCGTTGTGATCGAAGGGCAAGTCTGCATCCTCGGGACGCCCCCGCAGGCGGTAACGGCCTGCAACGGGTGGCAACGGGCCGGAGCATGCCGAATCCCCAGGACACACGCACAGGCGGCAACGAAGCAGCAACGGG